TAGGGAAAGTGCCCAGTACTATTAGCTAACAATAAAGGGCTGGAGTCTGCTTCCACTGCAAGCAATGCGTAACCCTGGGATACTCTGATGACAGCAGCCTTGGGTTCTGTGGGACAATACATCTTAGCTGGCACTGGAATTCTTGCTGCATGATATTGCCACCCACTGTGGGAAGGTAGGTGGGGCTTCCCATCCTATGCTCTCTCCATAGTTCTTGCTGAAGGATCACAGACTTGCTGGTGACTGCCTTGAACTGGGAAATCTCTGAATCACTCGGACCTTTTCCTTGCCATGAAACCCCAATGGAAGCAAACACTGTGAACCAGCCAGACCTTTATGGATTTTTCTGCCTCTGTCAATGCACATGAAATCATTTCACATCAAGTTCTTAACCAAGCTAGCAAATTTATTCATTGTATGACACCTTGCTCCTTGTACAACAATGTGGGAAGGAAAGGTTCACAATATCCTTTTAACTCAACTGCCTTAGAAACCCTGGCACTTGCATGTAGAAGTTGCATGTTGCTTTAACATGGCACTTGTAATACTAAGCTCACATTCATTCTGAAGTTTAAATGGTTCTTTGCAAATCATTGCAGTGACCAAGCAATGCATTTGATAATGCAGGGTTACAAACTGGATTTTAAATAGAAACAACAAATTGATTACAGCTTCTTTTGGGCAGATTTTCCAGGCCTAATACAGGTCAAACTTTCATGTAATATAACCCAATTGCTTCATATATAGCTTTCCTGCATTCTTTTGTCATCACTTGGATTGCTCGTTATGCAGCCAAATCTAGAGGTCCTTTCTCAGTTTGTACCCGGGCAAAATGCCCAGGAGAAACAAAAGCAGCTTGCCTGTGTAAAGACTCCAATATTTAACCTCATGTGTTCACTACCATTCTTTTCCATTTATCTCTGGTCATCTCACTGTAGGCCAGCATGACCTTAGACAAAACAAAGTTATTATTTTCAGAGGTTTCAGATAGACTGATAGATTATGAGAAAGTCTGAGAAAAATAATTAGCCCACTGAAGTATGGTTTCATGGGAGTCAACATTTTTTTCATCACTTCCAAGAAACTTTTTCTACACAACCTCTATCATTTTGAAGAGTTAGCTTTCTTTTTCCATTGAACTTTCACATTTGCAAACCGGGTGAGGTTTCACTTTTTGCTGCAAATTTAATCTCTCTCAAAACTTCTACTGTTTCCTTAACCCCACTGTTCCAGTTTAGCTTTTTAAACAAGTAAAACACATATTTTGCTTGGAGAACAAACAGAACCTATTGATCAGGGTTTTCTACTGCTTTCAGCAGCTCTAACTGGGACGGTACAAGTCAGCTCCTATGGCAGATGTTTGGGGGTTTTTAAACATCCAACACTGTAACCAGGGCCAACCCTAGGTGGGTGTGGGGCCCAGAGCAAATCAACCTGTGCAGGGCCCCCTTAATACCACGTCGAGCCCCTGGCATCCCCGCAAAGGCAGGGCACAGGCTGGATTGGACTCTGTACTTCGTCCGCAGCTACACATGGCTACACATTCATATAATCTAGGAGCCCTTTTGCACAATCCTTGCTACCATGTCTTGGGACCAATTTGCAACACAGGTCCATCTAACTGCAGAAGTTACAGTTAGGGCCGTCCCTAAGGTATGGCAAATCAGGGTGACCACCCTGGGCCCTGCGCTTTAGTGGGCCCCGCGAAGCTGAGCAGAATGGCTGTGGCCCCTCCCATAGAACCCACCTGGTGCTAGCAGCTCTGCCCTGCAAGTGGTGTACCTGGGAGCAAAAACTCAGGAAGAATAAGCTCCAGAGTTTATTCATGTGCACTAATTGCATGTGTAGACACACCCACTATGATGTGCATAATAGTGGCAGGTTAAAGAAAAATTACTTAATGATGAATGACTGTTGGAAAGGAGCACAACTTAGTTTAACTGTTAATATACACCAGAATAAACCATAATTAATGATGATTAGGAAAGTAAGGTTGAAACCCACTCACAGCGAACTGCTACCAGGGTTTTCTAAAGCCATTATAAATAGAGCTTTTCCTGGCCTATAGTTATAGTCAAGCCATCTTCTGCACCAATTGAGGCAGATCCCTTGCTGACACTGGATTTAGGTAAAGGGAATAATGATATTGTGCTCTCGTGAGCTATATACCATAGCAATATTTAAACACTATAGAGACTTCCCATGATGCAAATTAGGGCACCTCTGGCACTTCCTTGCTACACTGCTCTCTTACTCCATCACTGAGTCTAGCAACAACTAAATAAATGCTCTCACTGTTAAACTAGTTTTGGTGTTCAAGTCTTTGGTTTGGATCATTTTGATTTCTTAGAAAAGCTCTTCTTTGGTTACCTTGAGAGGTCTGTGTATCATTCAGTTCCGGAGGAACAGCAACAGCTTCAGACCCATCAGGGATTTGGAATGCACCTTCCTGCCATACAAGATTAGCAGTAGTAAGAATCACTGATAATAATAGTAATTTTCCTTTGAAAGCTTCCCTTAGCACTTTACAAACACTTACATTCAGGAATTGTAGACTCTACCTCTAAGGTGAAACATAGCAGCTTTTAACAATGTGTAGCAATCCTTTATAAAACAACCATGTACGTACTGTTAAATTTCTACAAATAGCATCAATTGTTGAGGTTAGCCAGCAATATTATACTGACCGTTTGAGGAGCAGATTGCACTCTCTGAGGAACATACTTGTGGGAAAGGGCTTAGGAAAACTGAAACCATACTTTGTAAAACTCTCTTAAAACACTATCCGATTTGAGAAGTTAAGGGGAAACAGTGAAGCTGTGTTATCTGACCTGCTAAACCCACATATCTTCAGGGAAAAGAATCCCCATTCCCACTGCGGAATTGTCCCTCCTCCTCACAAACCCCCTTCCACACACAATAAGTAGGAACCTGCAATAGGACTGACATTCCTGTCCACATATTTGCCCCTTTCCAGCTAGCATCAGTTGTTTCTGCTGTACTTTGTAAGCATGAGCAAAGGGTAGTCTAGGACTCTTAGGCCTGCTGTTGCTTACTATGGCCGCATCCAGATGAGCACAGCCATGAGGCATGTGGTACTACAAACAGGTCTGCGGTGTCACATACCGCACATTTATATGTTCTCCACGTTGCAAGGGCATACTGTTTCTAAGTTAATTTAAGTCTGTGGACTGTCTGTGGCAATGCATTAATTTGGTGCTGGCAATGCCCCAGACTAATGCAAGGATGTGCCTTGTGAAGAATGTGCGGGCCGGGAGCAACCCGAGCCCTTTTTCATGCTGCACGCAGGCTGTGGCCAGCAGCCCGGGCACGGTGGATCAGAGAGGGAGGGCGACGAGCTGGAATTAGGCACAAACGCTTAGCGGTAGTTTTAAAGACTGTTTACTTACACTGAGATGGCAGTGGTGTAGGCTGGAAAACTTGCTTGAGTTGCGGTTACAGACACAGACAACACGGACGGTCGCGTGGAGTTTGCTAGGCTCCACGGAACAGAGCTCCGGATGCTCTGGGTGAACGCACCACCAAAATCGGAATCGGAGATACGTCTTATAAATTCTTTCCACTCGAAGACGGGAAGAGGTGGGCGATGGATCAGGTCGCCAAACTCCTCTGAATCTCACACAGGGTCTCTATTACCCTGCCATGTATCCAGAGTCTCCACGAGATGGATGTGGAGTCCTCTTCGGCTTGGGTGGAAACCGCTCAAGCTTCTTATACGGCTAACAGGCCAATCGTTAGCTGCCACGTGGGAATAATTTAGAAC